TTAAAAATTGATATACCCGTGAATTCTTCTGCTTTGGACATTTTTAAATTGTTCTTTACGGATGAAATAATTAATTTAATTGTGGTCGAAACTAATAGAAATGCTGAACAATTTCTATCAAAAACTAGATTGACCAAATCCAGTCGATTCGCAAAATGGGTACCTACAAACGAAAATGAAATAAAAAATTTTTTTGGGTTAATTATGTGGATGGGGCTTGTTCAATTGCCAGCTATAAGAGACTATTGGTGTAATAGTACTAGGTATAAAAATTATGTGGCACATAAAATCATGCCTAGAAATCGTTTTGAATTAATCCTTCGGTTTTTACATTTTTCTGATAATGAAAAATTTGATGGTGATAAAATTGATAGAGTACGCAATTTAGTTGAAAAAATGATTCACAATTTTCAAAACGTAATAGAACCAGATGAACATTTAGCTGTTGACGAGACTATGGTCCCTTTTCGTGGAAGGTTGGGTTTCAGGCAGTACATACCCGGAAAGTCACACAAATATGGCGTGAAATTGTTTAAGTTATGTGGAACAGACGGGTACACATATAATGTGCAAATCTATGCAGGTAAAAGCCAAGTTGACGGGAAAGGGCTTGCGTGCAAAGTTGTGTTGAATTTATGTCAGATGTATTTAAATGCTAATCGGACTATAACCACAGATAATTTTTACTCTTCATTACCCCTTGCGTATGAACTTTTGAAAAATAAAACACCTTTAATAGGAACTCTACGCTCTAATAGAGTTAAGGTACTTGGAGTAACGGATGCGAAGTTAAAACGAGGAGAAATTGTTGGTAAGGAAAATGCCGACGGAATTGTTATTGGTAAATGGAGAGATAAACGAGACATTACTATGTTGTCGACTCGACACGGCATTGACATGATAGATATGGGTAAAAAAAAATAGAAGTAACGAAAATGTTGTGAAATCTGAAATTATAATCAGTTATAACAAAGGCAAGGCAGGGATTGATTTATCTGATCAACTTTCAAGTTACAGTACGGCGGTCAGAAAATCAATACGATTGTACCACACCCACATAGCAATATTCTTCGCGGGACGTCAATAGGACTATCCTAATCATGTCCTTAAGTAATCCTAACAGTATGCTCGATAAGGTCATTCTAAGGATGATCTTAGTACAGTCTCAAACAATTTACCTCCCATTGGTATATATGGAGGATATTGGGGAAATCCTATTTAAATACTTAATGGAACTTGTGAAGATGTAATTCTACATCAGCATTTTGCGCTGTTTCGGGCGGCTCAGCCGTAGATAAGAATGCCTGAATGTTCACTACTGCTACTTTCGACCGCGCGAGCGCTCGCCCGTCACTCACTATCTCTTCGGCTTTCGCAGTTCGCACGGCCGTTGCGTCATTGTGTTTTAATAATATTCGTTATCGTGTTTTTAATAACAGTTTTACTTTACGTAAACCATACTACCATAGTAAATAGTAAGCACATTTTATGTATAATGTTTTTTTTTTGTCATTTTGTGGGTTATGTATAAAATTAATTTATGAATATCATGTTTAAGTGTTTAACTGAAGAAATGTAGAATCGATTATCGAGTTTATTCTTTATCTATGATATCAACTATCGAGTGTACTTTGAACTTTCCAGTTTCCACGTCGCAACGAAATACGAACTACATTATATTATTCTACATTTCTACTACAATTATAACTACATATTCCAGTAGTTAATACCTCGTGTTCATTTTTCAAAATTCAACATGTCGAATGAGAATTGTTTATCTAAAAAGTAAGTACCAAGCATTTATATAGTGTTACGAACCTAATTAATATGTAGGTAATAATGAAATATTGATTTTAATTATTATACTGTTGTGGTTAGTATTGTCAATCTTTTCTTGGGGTAGGAAATTAAGTTAGTAATAAAAATATTTTTATTTCTTATAGCATTTGTGTCAATAAAAAGCTTAAATCAATTGAATCCATTTCTTCTAGACATCAGCGGAGATTGATAAAAAATGAAGTTGATTATTTAATTAATCCCACCAGAAATGCTGCATGTACTAGTCGAACTATTCGACATAAGTCATTTGATCAATCACATGTTTCTGAAAATCAAATTGCTACATCATACATTAATGATAGTTCCCTAAACTCCTTTACTGCTAATACTATTTTAAATAAATTAAAAATATCTACAGATCATAAAGTAAACACTACATTTTCTACTGAATTAATTAATAATGATTTTACCCCAGATTTTGTTACACCATTATCAAGTGAAAATTTAAACATTGATTTCAAAGATTTAATTGTTACCTGGGCTGTAGAAGAAAATATTTCTCATGTGTCTTTATCAAAATTATTAAAAATATTGAAATCCCATTCTTGCCTAAATTATCTTCCAAGTGACCCAAGAACTTTATTAAAAACGCCAAATAAACTGACTGTTGTTAAAGAACTACATCCTGGTATTTATCATCATTTTGGTTTAGAAAATGGTTTAAATCAATATTTTAATAAAAATAAAGAATTTTTACAAAATTGTAATAATGAAATTGAAATAATTATTAGTGTTGATGGATTACCACTGTCTAAATCATCATCAAATAATTTATGGCCAATTTTAGGGTCAATTTATAAAACTAATTTTATATTTTTAATCGGTGCTTTTCATAGTACTGAAAGTACCAAGCCAAAATGTGCAGTAAGTTTCATGGCTGATTTTGTTACTGAAGCAAAATTTTTGGTTGAAAATGGTTTTCAGTTTAAAAATAAAAAAATAATGCTTAAAATTAGAATTTTAATTGCTGACACACCAGCGAAATCATTTATTTTAAATGTTAAAGGGCATAGTGGGTATTACAGTTGCACTAAATGTTGTATTGAAGGAGGAGAATATCATAATAATGGAGTATGTTTTCCTCCAATAGTTGCTAAACTTCGAAATGATAATGACTTTCGAAATTACTCTGATGAAGAATATCATTTAGGCGAGTGTCCTATAGTTAACATTCCAAATTTTGATCTAGTTGCACAAGTTCCATTAGATTATATGCACCTTGTATGCCTAGGCATTGTTAAAAAACTATTTAAACTGTGGACAACTGATCGTTGAGTGTT